CCATTCTACAGACACTTCTTATGTCGAAATTGGGGGAGGGGTAAAGTGTGGGCTAATAACTCATTTCCCAGTTAATTTTATTAAGAATTTATAGCACTGTTTAGAAAGTTTTAAGACAACCATAAATTTTATTAGGAATATTTTATTAAGCCCTCCATTTAATTAATAAAAGACCTCTATAAGTTCTGAAAATGTCAGAGCTAGTAATTATGTTAACCAGTGTAGTTTTTCTCCCTCTAGAGACCAAAGCATTTTAATGATTTGAAATAGGAAAGTAGTGAAGGAAGCCCCTCCTTTAAAAAGATTTTAAAAAAAAAATTTGGTTTTCCAGTCAGAACATAGTGCGTTAGGTATTTGCCCTGCAGTGGTCAAAGTGCCTCAGCTGACCTCTCATCGACTTTTGAACTGGACCAGACAGTCTTTGTTTTCTGAAGTAAAATGCAGTAAACAAATCTGTGAGTTCTTGTAGCCTGGGTTGCTTTGGGGCACCTGATTAACGTCCTCTCTAATCCTCTGGTTGACCCCCTTCCGTATCATCTAACCAGATTTCTCCCTTTAATAGACCTCTAACTAGTTTACTTCACTTTTCTCGGAGCCATTCATTAGCTTTGACTTCTTGGTACCTTCCTCCTATCACATCCAGGCTCTTATCTCCAACATTCCTCTAGTATCTCTACTAGATTTCACATCTTATTTTCTTTAAACTCCCCTCCCCTTATTTCTGTTTTTTTTTTTTTTTGAAATGCAAATACTAATGTGGGAAGAGATTTGGAGGATGGATGTTCTTGAAGTGCAAACCCCAATCCCCCACGCCCGCCGCAGCACAACCTAAAAAGCAATCACAACATTTTAACAGGCATCTTAAAGTTAGGTGGCAGATGATAAACCCTTATCACACTGTGAACACAGCTGCCATACTCCACTGATTAACGAACTTTTGTTTATTCTGGGATGGCAAATACACACACATTTTACCTTAAGAGATGCCTCTTTAATTTCAGAGGGGTTTTGAGCTGACTCATCTGTGTGAACTTTTAAGACAAAAGCTTAATTCGGGATGTGGACCTTTCCAAAGACACAGTTTCTTATAGGAGAACAGAAAGTTACAGCAGAGTTCTCCCAGGCCACTATACCAACAGCCCAGAGGGGCACTGCTTGCTTTAAATGCCTCCCTAGAGGACACGTAAACAATAGAGACCGAGGGCTCAGTATGCCTCTTTTTCAGTTGCTGTTCTCTGTCTTGGGAAGGATGCTCTGGGATACGAAGGTAACATAAAATAGAAGGCCTGTATCACAAGAGCTGAGGCCAAGTGCCAGAACCCTTCCCCAGGCCAAGTTTTTGCAAAATAAAAGTGCTATTACCTTAAAAAAGCAATTATCTGAAATAAGCTTAGGATAGGCGCTGTCACAGAACAGACATGAATATCTGCAGCAGTTTACCAAGATACTATACCTAGAACTGTCCCTTCACTTTTTCCTTTTAATAGTTGATTAATTGCTACCCTGCTGAAGGAGGAGTTTTTTTATGGCTACTATATTGCAACTCTAGACGTCCTCTCTGCAATTTCTCTCAGCAAGCACCAACTGTAATAACTGTTTGCTAATTGTAAAATCCTTATCCAGAATGAGGTTTGGGCAAACAATTTGTACTACTGTAATTACATTGTAAAAGTGTTTTAGTCCCTTGATTGTTCAGAATTAATCGCATAAAGGCCTAGACGGAGTATTAGATTCACAGTAATAAATGGAAATACACTTTTCAAAACTACTGTGAGTTTCAGCTCACAAACTCAAAGTATCACGTTCTCTAAGGAAAATCTGCATGTAGGTAATATAAACTACATGTTAAAGTAAAACTGACACGTGGTGGTTAAAGCACACACAATCTGCCTCCTGCTTTGAAGGATACTGCTTAAGTTTGAAAAGAGTGACTTACCTGAACCCTCTTTTTTTCACTTCTGTGAGAAAACAAAAGAAAAAGTTACTGGGCAGTAACCATCTAAAATAAACCCTGTTGTCAAAAACATGTACCATAGATATAAAAACTGACCTTTTCCAAATTTGAAAACGTGGACGCAGAGTGAGGTACCTGCAAGCCCACTGCCTAAGTCTAACCAAGAACCTCTAGACCACGTTCAACGGAATGTATTTCGCAGTAAATTTCTCTCAGTTAAAGTATACTTACATAATTTCCCTCGCAGCTCATTTAAGGACTGTAAACGTAGAAGTGCTGGTGTTGCTGTCTGGTTGGGCCCTCTCCCCCTCCCCTCAGCCCCGCTGATCCCTGGCAGGCCTGCTGGGGAGACCGTGCTTCCACTCCCGGGAGGGCCTTCGCAGGAGCTCAGGTGTCCGCCACAGCCCTCTGAATGGGGAAGAGCTCGCTGCTGCCGGCCCGGCGCAGTCCTCCCCATACTCGCAAAAGAAGTGCGCTGCCTGGCCTAGCCAACTCAGCGTCACAAAATTTAAACAAAAATCTCTTTCCTGTGTTCACAAGGTTCCATTTTGACTTGAAATTCTGCTTTCAAATTCACTTGCGGGGGGGGGGTGTCAGACTTTGGGCTTTGGCTCTGGTGACTCACCTGCTTTTGCCCACCCTTGGCTTTGACTCTCAGGCCTGCCTCAACCTCCCAAGCGATGTATCAGGGTAATTGTGTCAAAAAACCGCACACAAGTATGTGACGAATAAAAAAGTAGAAGTCATAAAATTTGAGTACTGAAGACAGAAACTAGAAATTAAAGAAAGAAAGAAAGAAAGAAAGAAAGAAAGAAGAGACAGGTAAGTGCTAAGGGATCCTGGGGATTTTCCTTTTTTAACGGTTGAGCTCTTTCAACTCAAAGCGCATCTGAAGGTTTGGGGGGACGTATGTCGACCCTTCGACCCTTCGGACACACAAGGAGCAAGTTCAGTGTTGGGGGCGGGGAGGAGTGCAGGAGGCTGGGCAGGCTCATCAGCTCGGCTTTCCGTGAACACTCCACGGTTGGGGTGAACCAGCCAGGCGCCGGCTCGTGCGGAGCGCTAGAAGCCAGAGATGTCGCCTAGGGAGTCTACTAGCACTGGGTGGGACAAGATTGCTGCGCTGCGTTTTGAAGATCGCCGGGGTCCCGTACTACTCAGAAACCCACTCAACAGAAACTTGAGTTTGACTTCGAGAACGGATGCAAAAGCTCTTACTTTGCGCCTAAGAGTTGCTTCAATACATTTGTGAGATCTTAACCTCTTCCAAACAACCTCCGCGTGAAGAGGGCCCCCTAATCTTTCTCAAAGTTCTTCCCACCAGCTATCCCCCTCTGGGGTGAGAGTTTGGTCCGCAGCTGGTAGGGTGGGATGGGGGTGGGGGCGATGGGAGCGCGGGCCGGCAGCTTTGAGGGAGTCAGCCTTTTGGCCACCATCAGGGCGGGAATCGGGACTGGCAGTTTGCATTCCCGGCAGATCGAAGCTCCCTGCTGATCGATTATTTGATAATTGATTTTCCCCGCAGCCAATGCGCGGCCGCCTGGGCGGGGGCGTCTCCTGATTGGCCGAGCCCTCCTCCACGGCTGCCTACCGAGATTTGGGTGAGCTCATTTTCCAGTCGACCGCAGGGGGAGTTTTCTGCGAGGTTTTAGCTGGAGGGAGGGGGGGAAAATCCTCTCCGAGCCGAGCGAGCCGCGAGCTCTGCCTGGGATGTGAGCTTTCCAGCTGCTGGGGCTGGGGCTCCTCGGCAGACGGGAGCCAGGCGGGCAGGAAAATAAAGACGAAAAGAACCCCACTAAATGTAATAATAAAGGGCAAACTCAGGGTGGGAGAATAAAAAGAAGGGAAACATTGAGGTCCCGAGAATGGGTATTTATAGAGAGAAAGTTGAAATCGGTGACCGCCTACAGAATCCGAGCTGTGGATACGGAGAGCTTTTGTCTGAGATCTCCGCTCTCGAGCTGGGGTTCTTTTTCTCTCTGGCATCGGGAGTTTTCGCCGAGCAAGGCTGGGAACAGAAAAGCGGAGTGCGGGGACAGAAGTCTGGGGAGAAAAGTGCCGGGCGTCACCGGGGAAAGACGGGGGGCGCAGAGCCCCTCCAGGCCCGGGCGAAGCCAAGGCTGAAGCCCCTTGGCGCCTCGAAGACAAAGGCGCCGAGGCCGCAGCCTGAGCCTAGCGCGCCGGCCCCGTCGCGCCGCGCCCTGGGCGCACGGCCGCCTCGCCCGGAGCGGGATAGGGAAGGAGCCTCTCCCCGCGGCTCTCCGACCCGGCTCCGCCCGCCCGCTCGCGAGGTCTGGCTGCTGGGAGCCCGCGTCGGGTTTCGCTTTCCGGCGATCATAAATAGCTTGGTGTTTGTAAACAGGCGCTGGGGGCACATTCCCAGAGCCCGGCTCATTGTTCCCTGCCTTCCTCTCTCACTCCGTGCCGGGCGCCGGGGCTGGGGCTGGACCTGCCGGGGCGAGGAGGTGGGGGCGTCCAGACCCAAAGTGACAAAATGCAAGCATTTCCTGTCCTCTGTCCGGGCGTCCACCTCTGACAGCGAAAAACTCTAAGCTGGGTCTGCAGAAAGCTCGAGCTCCCTCCGCCCCACGTTCTCGGGACTCCTAGCAGAGCCTTTCCCAGCACGGCTCCGGCTCCTCTTCTCCTTGCTCCCGGTTTGACTTTTCTCGTTGGGGCGTCCAGTTCTGAGAATCCAGTACTTTGCGCATCACCCACCTCCCCGGCGCAAAATACTGGCAGACCCCAATAATTTCGAGGAAAGTCTTGAAGTCTATGCGCGGAGCCCTGTGCAAAATAACTCCCGCTGCTGCCTGGCCCGCGTTTATTCCCAATTTATTTCAAGAGAGTCCGCTTTGGGGAGAGAGTCTGGAGGGGGAGGGAGAGAAAAAGAATATGGAAAATAAAACCGGCGGTCGGGTGCTGCTGCCTGCGTTTGTGTGTGTGTGTGCTCGGGGTGTGTGATGTTTGTGCCTGTGCGTGCGATTTAATGGAGCGCCTTTCTGCCTCTCCAGTGCGGACAGAGCTCGCTACGCGCACCCACCCCTGCGGAGGAGCCTACTTGCTGCAGCCCAATGCATTGTGTAAGACGCGACCTGTTATGGCCACCACTACTTCCGGGTTCTAGCATTCTGGTCGGAATCCACCTCTCCGCCTGTGCAACACACACTTTACACACGCACGGGGACTGCAAGCGGACAGCATCGATCGTGGCTCCTTTAAGACAAACTCAGACAGACATTTTTTTTAACCCTCCTTCTCTAATCTCCCTCCAGTGCAGCAGTTGCAAAGACGGAGAGAGAGGGAGAGAAAGAGAAAGAGCGAGCGAAGAGAGAAACTGATTAGGAATTAGGACTGATTCAAGGGAAGCGAGCGCTAGGGCTTTGTGCATTTGAATATTAACATTTGAGGTGTTCTGACCAGAAGAAGACAGAGCGGATGATCATTCATTCACCACGTTGACAACCTCGCCTGTGATTGACAGCTGGAGTGGCAGAACGCCATGAGATTTGGTAGTTGGGTCTGAGGGGCGCTCTTTTTTTTTTTTTTTTTTAACTGATTTTTGGGGGAGAGAAGATCTGCTTCTCCCCCCCCTTTTTTTTTCTTTTTGCCCCCGCTGCTGTCTTGGAAACGGAGCGCTTTTATGCTCAGTGACTCGGGCGCTTGGCTTCAGGTCCGGTAGACCGAAGATCTGGGACCAGTAGCTCACACTGCTGGAGACGACGTTAAGGGATTTTTTCGTCGTGCTTTTTTTTTTTTTTTTTTTTTTTTTTTTTTTTCCGGGGGAGTTTGCCTATTTGTTTCTTTTCACACTGGCCTTAAAGAGGATATATTAGAAGTTGACGTAGGAAGGGAGCCAGAGAGGCCGATGGCGCAAAGGGTACGTATTAAAAAAAATTGTGGAACTCAAATGTGAGATTAAATGGAAACGTGGCTGAAAGACACTGTTTAAAAGTTTCCTTTTTTCTTTCTCTCCTTTTGAATAAGGCTTCTAAAGCCGTGGCCTAAAGAAGAGAGGGTTTATTTAATGCATCTGTAGACATATGTATGTTACTTGTAGTTGTTAATTCACATAATCAAGTTTTCTACAGATACATAACCAACAGCTATATAAATAAAAATACAGGCTCGAGCAGTCATCTGTTAAAAAGGACTGCTAGATACAAAATACCATAATTTGAGCATCCAAGGCTCAGAAGTTTAAAGTTATATTTAAACTAAAATAAGCAGCTGGAAACTTCTGATATTTTATTGATTATGGTCATCTTTAATATCATTTGAAGTATTTAGCTTTTTCAAGCAAATAACTGTCATAGTATCCTGTGTGGGTTTTTTTTTTTTTTTTTTGGTTGGAGAAACATTCATCTTTTAAAATTAATATTAGTTTGTATGGATTTCTATGCAAGCCAGTACTTTGCAAGTTTTTTCTTAGATGAGTCCTGTGCTAATTGGATGCTAAGCACACAGTTACTCACTTTTAAAATGCAATACTAATTTCCCCAATATTCCCATTTGAATGGAAATGTAGTGAGAGTAAAGTGAGACAATGACAACCCAACTGAGGTAGTTTCTTAAAGAAAGGGGGGGGGTCTACAAAAAGCCTTCCTTGCATAATTTGTGTCCTGGCCCTCAAAGCCCTGTTTGCAAAAGAAAGTTACTAGGCTGACACATTTCTCTTTACTTCTTTGGTTCAGGCAAATGTCAGCGTTCTTCCAAACTCTTTTCACACCTCTGGCTTTAGGAGATGAAAGTGGCAATTTCTCTTTTCTTTGAAAATCATTTCACTCTAGGCACCTTCAAATCTTGGGAAAAGACCTTGCCTGGAATGAAACAGTTTTAAAAACCTAAGTAGCTAAATGTAGCACAAAAAATAATGACATTATGAAAGTAGTTTTTCTGGAAGGGAAGGATAGGGTGTTATATGTGCATTTGGTTTTGAATTTGCTTTGAAACCTAATGAGTAACATTTGCCTCATTGATATGTGGTCTGGGAGAAAGTTTGTGAGTTTTAAAAGTAAAAATTATTAACTGCTTTAATTATAGATTTTCTTTAACTTGTGGGGGTGGGGGGGTTGCCCAATTCTGAATTCAGCTGTAAGGGAAAGCTGATAAATAAGGGAAAGCTACCCTTATTTGAGTTTCACTTATAAGGGGGTCAGTTTGTTTTGTGTGATTTAGCAGAGTTTGTCTTGGAAAGCAAAGAAAATGCAATGTCTTGCTGGACTGCCCAGCCCCACGCTGGCAGGAAAATAAAATGAGAAGCCTGCCTGAATTCACGTGCTTGGCGGAGCTGTTCCCATCGTAACTTTTTTTTTTTTTTTTAAATTCCCCCTGATGTGAAGGGGCTGTGAAACTAGGCGGGTTTGCTGCACTGTCCTGGCACGTTTTATTATTGTGATTTTCAATTTCCTCCCCCAGAGACATGCACATTTTACCTTCCGCCCTCTGGGAGAATGCTTCGCTTTCTTTCCTCCTTCCTTCCTTCCTTGCCAAAGGATTCTGAATTTCTGAACTACTTGATAGGATACAAGTTAGGGCAAGAAGCTGCATCTGAGTGGAGTTTTACTGAGAACCCTAGAAATGGAGAACCCTGGAAATTTTACTTTAAATTTATTTTAAAAATAGAAATCTCAACTTTAGAAATGCAAGGCCACCGAAATCCGGGTTGAAAGACCCAGCTGGACTGACCTTATGTAAGCTCGGAGCCCTAGCTCTCCCCTATTTGCCCGCCTGGCCTCTGAACCTTCTTTCTCTCCTGTTTGTCATGCAGTACGACGATCTACCCCATTACGGGGGCATGGACGGAGTAGGCATCCCCTCCACGATGTACGGGGACCCGCACGCAGCCAGGTCCATGCAGCCGGTCCACCACCTGAACCACGGGCCTCCTCTGCACTCGCATCAGTACCCGCACACAGCTCATACCAACGCCATGGCCCCCAGCATGGGCTCCTCCGTCAATGACGCTTTAAAGAGAGATAAAGATGCCATTTATGGGTAGGTACAATGGGCAGCAGTTAAAGAGTTGAGATGCGTTGCTTTCCCTATTTCCCGTGCCCTTGGTAACAGGCAAAGTCAGACCTCTCTGGATTGGAGGTCCATAGCTGGTGACTGTTTATTCACAATGCATGGAAAATGTGGGGAGGCGGCCTGCCAGGCCGGCGCTCCCCATCTCCATTCGCGCTCTGGGCTTGCTCAGCGCACCGCTTCGCCCGCTGCGGTGGCAGCCAAGGGGTCCCAGTTCGGGAGAAGTTGTCTAAAGCTTCCGCATCCCCTTTCAGTCTCCGGTTCATCGGATCCCGAGTCCTCCCTGCTCGACTTCGCTCCAGAGCGCTGGGGGTTTCAAAACGCAGGCGCCTTTGTGTTGGAACGAAACTTTTAGTTTAAGGGAAAATCTTTTAAGCCACTGATTGTTCTGACTTGCTAAGTTTACTCAGCAACCGTATGCTGCCTCTGCCACCGCACAATACAGTCAAGGGAGGACAGTGGCAGGTCAGGCAAGGGGGAACATGTTTTGCATTTAGGAGGTTTGACCACTGAAGTCGAGGAGAGGGGCTCACACTGAATTGTTACGGACACTAAGAAACTTCTGGTCGTTTTAGCACTTTGTGTTCAAAAGCGAACCCTGTAGGATTTAGCAAGAAGTAAACGCCGGTGCTCTTCGGCCGGAGGTTTTTGGCCGCTGCTTATACCGTATTCTACCCGGCCATCCGATTTAGATCCTGCACTAGGAAAAAAACCCTTCTGAAAGTCAGTTGTGCCTACTGTGTGCTGATGAATTTTGGGACCCCTTTTTACTTGGCAGCAACTTTTGTTTCTATCTATTCCTTCTTTTTAAGATCATGTAACACTGACCCTTTTTGCTGGGGGAAGAAAAAAAAATCTTTCTGCTTTATTTCCTGGTCCCTTATGCAAGAGCCTGGTTTAAATCCCAGCTTTCCGTCCACAGCGTTAAGTGCAAATGGTTTAGACTCTGGGGCAGAACATTTGGGGAAGCTTTGAAAAGGACCCCAAACTATTAAATTTCTAGCTGAGCTGTGCGAGCTAATAAAAGACTGGAGACACCTCCTTGGGCATTAGAAGCAGCCTTTTTTTTTTTTTTTTTTTTTTTTTTAATGGGCTGAGACAAGCGACATCTAGGCCCTTCACAATACTACTGCTTTGCCACTCCGAAGAGACAAAATGAAAGGCTTGACCACAGGAACATTTGAAGGAACTTTCTTTGGGGGCAGTGGGGGGCATCCGCGAAGGGCGGGGAGGGCTCGGGGAGACCAGGAGGGGCCAAGGGCGGTGGAGTAGGGGTCGGTAGGTGCAGCCCTGTGACAGTGGGTCCTGCAGCCGCCGGGGTCCTCTGCTCAAGTTAGCTGGGCGCCTGACACCGGGATCCTCAGAGCCGTGGGCTCTGCGCGGCCGCCCTGCAGGAGCCGGGACGAGGGAGCTCGCCCACCCTTCGCCCCGCGCCCGCTCGGGCTCCAGGCTCCAGGTCGGGCGAGAGCAGCCGGGACCAGGGTTGGTCGGGGTGGGAAACTTAATTCAAAATGGCTGCTGGAACCGCTGGGGTTTGATTCGTAGCAAATGTTGCCAATTTCTCCGGCCAGAGATGTTGCACCGATCATCAGATACGGTCCACGGGCTCAGGCCTTCGCCTGCGCAGCCCTGGGAGGAAGGGGAGCTGAGCAGTCACCTGGGCGGAGGGGCAGGAAAGGGAGAAAAGTAGATGACAAAATCAGGGAGGGGGTCTCTGCCTCGAGCCCCGGCTGTTTTTCTTGGGCGCCTTTTTTCCCTGACTCGAGACTAACCATTGTGTTGTTTGTGACTGTTGTATTTTCTTGCAGACACCCTCTCTTCCCTCTCTTAGCACTGATTTTTGAGAAATGTGAATTAGCTACTTGTACCCCCCGCGAGCCGGGGGTGGCGGGCGGGGACGTCTGCTCCTCAGAGTCATTCAATGAAGATATAGCCGTGTTCGCCAAACAGGTCAGCAAAAGAAATGTTATTAAAAAAAAAAAAAAAAAGTAAAATAAAAAGGGACTGTTTCCCCCAACACGCGCGCGCGCACACACACACACACACACACACGCACACACACACACACACACACATCCAGCAATCACATTCCCCAAAGTAGTCAGCAGACCGTCCACCCTAAGCCCTGTGTGTTGCTTGCACCCTGAGATGTCCCTCCTCCAGAAGTGTGCTTGCAGAGAACTCCCATCCTTAAACCCACTCCCCCGCCACGAGCTGAGGCCGAGCTCAGTCTATGGAATAAAATCACGCCCTGCACGCCCTGTAGCTGTTTTGGACTGGCGAGCAGAGCAGCGTCCCCAGCAGCATAGTTGGGCAGAAGTAAAGCTGAGCCCAGGGCTGGTTCTCGGCTTGATTCACATCGAAGTGGCTCTGCCTGGGACAGTCGCCCAGTCCCCACCAATGGTTGCATCCCGCTCCTGACAGTGTGATAATGCAGGAAAGTAGGAAGAAGACCAGATTTCAAATATTTTCTCTCTTTTTCTTTCCCCTCCCTCTCCCCTCTCCTTCTCACTTGTGTTTAGATTCGCGCGGAAAAACCTCTATTTTCTTCTAATCCAGAACTGGATAACTTGGTAAGAGTTGACCCTTTTACTCCCCTCCCCCAGCTCTTCCACCCCACCCCGCCCCCAGCCCCTCAGCTTTTCTTCGAGAGAGCCCTGAGGCTTCTAGACTGGTCTTTCCGTAGCTGCGGGTCGGCTGGGCTGCACACGTTTCGGTCCACGGACAAGTGACTGAGAGACAAGATCCCGGGCAAACACATTCATCTCGAGAGGGCCTGGGCGAGCTGGCGCGGGGAAACGCAAGCTTTTGTTTTTTATGACAGCCGGGCTGCGCGGCTCTAATCAGCGCGGGGATTTATCTCCTGGCCTGTCAGCGTCTGTGCTTAAACTTTGCGGACTTCCCAGCCCTCAAAGTCTCAACACCGGGGCAGGGACCGGGCAAGGGGTCCTGAACAACCAGTTTGCCTGAAAGGTGTGCAGAAAGCTGCAGAAAGTTTGCAATGAGCAAAACCACATTTTGGGGTCTATTTGGAAAACCTTCCATTCACTTCTCCCAAGGAAACCTCTGGCCCAGCCCTGTGGCCCTTTGGGGTTGGGGTGGAGCCAGTGGGATTGAGAAAGGGGAGATCTGTGGAGGAGGAGAGTGTTTATGACCCCCACTTAGATGCTTTGTTGTTGTTTTAGCTATATTTTCTCCTTAAGAAATATAAACCTCTAGATGGTACCCAGTCACTGCTATTAAGTTTTAGTGTTATTGCCGTAAATCAAAATAACTCTATTTACTGGGGGAGGAGGGTGGGCTGGAGATGCAAGAGCTGTGATAGCCAGTTTTCTGCAGACTAGGAATGGGGTGCTCATGCTTTTTGTGTCTTTGCAGATGATTCAAGCCATACAAGTATTAAGATTTCATCTGTTGGAATTAGAGAAGGTAATTTCCTTGGCCTCTTTTCCTTGTGCTTCACCCTTACCCCTAAACACAGGAGGGGAGGGTTCAGAGTGGCTGAACTTCAGGCTTCTGAGATATTTGCATAAATGTCTTTCTTTCTGGTAATTAGTGTCAAGGCCAATCTTAGCATCCATTTCTCTTCTCAGTTTAATTACAATTTCAGCCACTAAAACCGGGATCACAAACGCCCCAGCCTTGTATTCATTCTTAATACCTTGCTGGCTTTGTGCAAATAGTTGCAGTGGTGTGCTTCCTAGCTGCTGTGTTTAGAATGCTGTTGGGTTTGCTCTCCAGGTTAAAACCTCTCTGGTCTCTTCTCTTCCTCCTCTTCTTTGAGTAGGAAAAAAAAAGTTTTGTTTAGTTTTAGTGAGTTTCTGGAAGATGGTTTGAGAGAAGTGGCAGGTCACAGAAGAGGTGGAGGGGGAGGAGGGTGGGCCAGGAGACTAGAGGAGGTGGTGGGGAAGGCACATTAAACCTTTCGCAGAGACAAAGCCGGGCTGATAATTGTGGCAATTTCTTGAATCTGTGAATCCTGCATACCCTCCACCTTCACACTCAAGAAAGGGTGCGGGACAATGTGATTTTGCTAGCTGTTCTATAAATCTCAGCAATAAAAACTTAATGCATTGTAATTCAAACTAACATTACATTGCAAGCGTGCTGGGGTTTCTTGTGAATTTCTGCGTGTCAGTGATGCCTGGGATCTGAAAGTGACCACTTCACTTACACCTTAATATTTTCAGTCCTTCTTTTCTTTTGGAAAAAAAAATCAATTTCATAAGCTTTTGTGGCTGTAGGTTTTTAATAATATGGGTACTGGCAAATTGATTTCCTTTTGTTTTTTTTTTAAAGGATCCTAAAATATTCTCCTTATGGATAGAAACCCTAATTATTACAAATGTTTCCGGGATTGGGTTGTCAGGCATATATCCCGTGTCACCATAGCACAGGTCCTTTGGAGATTATATATATGTATATATATATTCACTGTTTTCCTTAGACACTTTGGAAAAGGATTTATGATAAAGTAACTGGATGAAATTAAATAGTTTACCTTAAATGTCACCCCCACAGGTCACCTCTCTAATGGCCACAGCCCCAGGAGCAGATGAATTTAACACGGGTGTTGAATATGTTGTAGCCTGTGAATCATCTTGTCACTGTCAATTTTCTGGGATATCTCTATTTTGCAAGAAAAGAAAGTTATTCCTAATTCTGGATGCGTCTGGGGGTCTCTGGAGGACAATTGCCCTGTGTTTCCCCTATTTGGAAGTTTGGATCTCACAAGGGGGGTGGATTGCACTTGTCAATGTCATTTATGTACTCCTGATTATATTTCCATTTTTTATTTCTGTCATAATGTAGGTACACGAATTATGTGACAATTTCTGCCACCGGTATATTAGCTGTTTGAAAGGGAAAATGCCTATCGATTTGGTGATAGACGATAGAGAAGGAGGATCAAAATCAGACAGTGAAGATATAACAAGATCAGCAAATCTAACTGACCAGGTACGCATTTTTCAATTTCAATGTCTCTGGCACCACAAAAAAAAAAAAAAAATCTGTATGCATATTGCTTGCTGGGTCACTATCACCTCCTTTTATTATTTGCATATGATTAAGTCTCTTTTAGATACATTTCCATCGAAATGAAAATTTTTGAATAATGTGGCTATTATTGCTTCATTAAGGCTGGCTCTGGGGTTCAACCTGGAGAGATGAGCTTGTAAAAGCTTTGCCTGCAAACTTGACCTGTTTCTTGTCGCTTTTAATTTTTGTCTTTATTTTATTTACCCTCTATAATAATGGGAGTGTTAACTGCCGGTGACCGCCAGTGATTGTACGGCTTTGTTCAGGAGCGTTTTCCCTCCTTCTCTCTTGAAGAAAAGAAATGTGTAGGGTCTGCTTATTTCTTATTTTCTTAGGAATAAATCCAAGATAGGTGGTCTCAGAGAGACAGTGAGGGTTTGAAATCTAGCAAATGCTGGCTATTTTCTCCCTGTCTGTACGGTTCATTAGCCTGTCTTGTCAGCTTTCCCCGGCCGAACGCTTCTAGACCTCACTGAACATTGCTTTGTGCAGTGTTCGCTGCAAGCTCGCCCATTTTATTGTACTTACTAGAAAAAATAGGACCAGACCAAGGTTAGAAAAACAGATAAATATGGACTTCTCTCCTGCTCCTTTCCACTCATCCTGCAGCCGGTACGTGCTCTGGGCCCTCTGCGTTGGCAGCCTTTTGAAGTGTTAGCGTGGGGGACACCCTGGGTGTGGAGGCTGGGGCCCCCAGCGCCGCCTTTGCTCTGTATTTCGACCCTTTGCTTGCTGTGCCCCCTCCTCTGACGTCCACACTCCAGGCCCGTCTGCTGCGTTGCTAAGTGGGGAAGACTTTTATCTGGAGCTGCTTGGGGAGGGGGGTGCTGCTCTCCCGCTGTCACCCTGACACCACCATTTGCTCCTAGTTCCTCTGCGCCTCTTGCACTGTCTCTAGATTGGTCCAAATGAGTTACACAAATACGATGAAAGTGGAAATGTGAGGAGTGAGTGAGATGAAACAGGGCCCAGGACAGCTCTGCTGTGAATTTTTACAAGGAGCTTAGAGATTTGGGTAGCTGCCTCCTCTACCTGCCTCTCCATATAAGTGAAGGCCCCAGCTCGTTCTCTCTTGGACTTGGCACCTGAGCCCCTCCCTGCCTGAGGGAAGTGATCAGCCTGCCTTTGTTAAGCCAAAGGCCAGCAACAGTTTTCTTTTGCAAGCTCTGTGGGCTGCCAGTGCCTTGGGTAGCGTGAGCCCCGTTTGGTCCTCCTCGTCATTTTAAGGTGTCTTCTTTCAACATCATGCCCTTAAAATAAATGCCAGGCTGGACCCAGGCTGAATTCCCCCTTGTCCACGAGGAAGGAGGCAGAGCTTAAAAGCACTAGCTGGGTCCTCACCGCTGTTTGGCGAGTGGGAAACTTTTGGCAGTGTAGACGCTGCACTGAATGGGCAGTTTGTGCAGTCCCGGAGCAGCTGGGCCGAGGTGGGAAAACTGAGGGGCTCTCTGCCCTGGCCCTGCCGGTTGTCCGGCTTCCCCAGCCTTGCTGTTGACCAGCCCTCTGGAGCTGTGATATGCAGGTTCCGCAAAGGAACCCTTGGATAGCTGCTGTTGAATAAAAATTGTAATCCAACAAGCCTAACTAGAAAATGGGATTCTAAAAGCTCCGGAGTGCTGGGTACATAAAGCTATTTGAGCAAATTACAAGAATCGCTTAGGGGCATGAATGAAATCAACACTTTAATTGCCTCCAAAATGAAGATTTATACCCCATTTTCTCGACGAATCATTATTTTATTAAAGTCCCAAAGTTATGAGATTTATTGGGGGGGTATGCAAAATTGATGCAAACTCATTGAGTTCTCCTTCCTTGTGTAAACTTTCGTTATCCAGTCACCTTAATTTGCGATACGCAAATGGTGTGCGATTGTATTGGGTAAAAATCCTCATTTCATTCTCTTCAGCCTCTGAGAGTCATACATCCGTCCCACCGTGTAAGAGTCGGCTTCTTAGCTTTGGCTGGGCTTGCGGTGCTGTTGGCCTGTGCGCGTGGGCGCGCTCCTATGACCCCTCGGGGTCACCGAGGCCTCAGTTGGTAGGACAATATCAAAACCAAGTTTATTTTTTCTGTTTTCCTATTCTTAGAAGTCAGGAGCTAGTGGGTCTGGACTGGATTTGGACAGGGGAACGCAGAGTGCGGGGCTCCCTCGTTCCTGCGCCTCGCTCACACGCGGGTGAGCTCCCCACCTTTGGAGAGGTGGTCGGAGAGAGCAGGGTCGAGGCACCAGGCCTGCTGGAGCCTGGGGCGGGTCTGCAGGGGTGTTGGAACCCTGGAGCGGGCCGGGGCCAGGCCAATAGACAGCCTCTCCACCTGTCTGCGAAGGCGGCCCAGCCAGTTTGAACCTGGCAGAGTGCGGCCCTGGACTGGGTGCGTCTGCTGTGGCGTGAACGCCCGGCCTCCTGAGCACATTAACCCCTGTCTCTAGGGGCCACTGGCGGCGAGGTTTATTTTATTTTACTTTTTGTCCTCGGAAGGCACAAAGGCTGCCACCTGCGCCCGGATGTGGGCTCGAAGGCTTGGATGCCAGTCGGTTTCCCGGAGGGCTAACCCAGCGGAAATCCACTGGGCCGGGTAGTGTTGTTGGTTTGGGTGTTTTGTATGTGTGTGCATCACATTACGACACCACTAGAAACTGTAATCTTGTTCTTCCTCACGCCTCGGTCCCTTTCTGTGACTCCCCACCCTCCAGGTTTGGGGGCGGCCAGAAGGTCCCAGGGTACGAGAGCCACCTTGGGCGGTCGCGGGCCTCCGGGGCGCCCTCTCCCGTCCGCTGCGCTCCAGGCTCCGCACTCTCTCGACGGCCAGGTGCGGGAGGCTGGCGCCGGGACTCGCGTACCTCGGGGTGCCTGCGGGGCTGCGCTGGACCCTAGAGTGGCCCGAGAGTGTGCCCACCACGGTACAGGGCGTCGAGCAAAAGGTCTGGTCTGCTTCGCAGCCGGCAAGAATGCGGGTCCGAGGGGGAGGCTGGGCGAGTGACTGGGGGGCCGACAGGGGAAATGAGGGCGCCGAGGGGGTGTACGCAAAGAAAGTAGACCCTGGCCACCCGGATGCTAGACGGAAGGCGGTCTTCCAGGACTCAGGCCGAACCATTACCTTGCTTCCCACGGCTGGTGCTTCCCACTCCTTATATCTGAGCATTTTCAACTCAGAGAGGCGGTAGGGAGAGAGTGGGGAGGGGAACAAATTGTGGAGAGGGTCTGGGGACCTCAAGGAAGGAAGGTCGCCTCCTGGGGCGGCCAAGCTGTCCGTAGCAGAGATAAACTAGGCCTGGATTTGATCGGGCATCAGCAGCGGCCCTGATCCTGCCCACAAGGAGAGGGAAGCAGAGAAACGGTCCCTTTGGATTACAGTGTTTCTTTCTGGTTTTTGTTTGTTTGTTTGTTTTTGTTTTTGTTTTTTTTTTAATTCAGCAACCACTCTGGGTGGTGTGTGGGGTCCTCCTCTGAATCTGCATTTACCAGCTCCGGGGAGAGCTGACGGCTGTGCAGCGGTGCCCGCCCTGTTGCATGCTAATCCAGATTTGTGTCTGATGTCTGAGGAGGGGTAACAGGGCTCAGAGATGAGGCGAAAGTCAGGCTCGCCAGGCAGGTCAAATGCCAAGTGCTGGTAGGTTCCTGGGGGTGGGGTAAGGAAGGGTAAGGGAGGCCAGGGGACAGCCTCTAGGCCTCTGGGTTGTGCCGGCTTGGGACATCTGGGTCAGGCTTTGGATCTGTACACTTTGGTTCCTAAGTGGGCCTGGGAACTTTGGTGGTGATTATTTTATTTCAGAAGTTCACAATGTTTTTTCTAAAGCATACTTTGGATTACAATCCTTAAAACTGAAGTAGGACTTGACTAAAAAAATAAAGCAAAACAAAACACCAGTCCGGCTCTCTCTCTCTAAAATGGTACAGGGTACATCCTCGAGGACACTTAGGTCCCCCCTGCCCCCAGGTGTCAGGTGAGGGACTGCTGCGGGAGCTTAAGGAACAACTAATGTCCTTCATGGATTGAATCTGCTGGATTAGTGAAAAAGCAAAAAAAAAAAAAAAAAAAAAAAAAAAAAGATAGGACAGTGGATATTTACTAATATTAGAAATACCTGCCGTTCATTTTCATTCGATAAAAAAATAACAACACAAAAAGCAGGAAGCAGGAAAATCTTCCCTTTGTCAGGTAGTTCCCTTCCACATGCTTACATTTGGATACATCTTATTTAAATTGTAAATGCTTCAGAGGGTCCCACTTAATGACTCAATCCTGGAACTGCTCAGTCCTGGAACCTCTCTGCTGTGCAGCCTGTTCTTATTTTGCCTAGCGAGTGCTGGGTCTCTGCGTCATCTAACTCCACTTCTGATTGTTGCTGTGAGTCATGTGGTGTATTCCTTATTCTTTTTTTTTTTTTTTTTTTTGAAATATGTCAAAGGGAAATTATGGCAAGATTCTCTTTAATGATTAAATAATAAGGTGTTGACTGCTTGTCACTACACTAGGTAATTGTGATGTTCATTCTAGACCCTTTGTGGCTTAGTATCCCTTGAATTAAAAGTTACTTGTATACCAGGTATGTTTTTAGTGTTACTTTCTGGTTGGCTTTTGGTGTATATGTGCGAATTTCAGAGTAAGGATGTATTGATTCTTAATTGGGGCCCTTAAAACATTTTTTTTTTAAAGAATAAGAAAAAAATACAGAGTCTACGCAGATAGTTGAGATCAGTTACTGTATATTGTTAAGTGTCACCAGCACTAAATGCTAAAACTACAAATATTCTTTGCATAGTTCCCCTTCTTCACTCCACCTCTTTTTTTCTTCTCTTCCTTCTTCTCTTTCCCCTTCTCCTTCTCTCTCAATGGAAGTCCCTAGTGCAAGTTTCATGGTTAATGGAAGCAGTGATACTAATGCTACTTTGTACAAAGTAAAGCCCCATAACAGTAAC